GCCCCTGCATGCATGTTACATTGAGCATTTTACTACGTGGTATTTGGATGTCTTTATATTGTATCATAGATTTCATAGACCTAGTATTTATTTGGAGTTACATTTACAAGTATTCGAATTTTGGTAAAATATTGAATTGTGCTTATTTACTTTACGTGTGTATTATTACGATTTAACTAACGCAATACGAAGAACAATAAGAAAGAACACACGAAATTTGGTAACCCAGTTCGCCACAAAGGACTATGTCTGGGAGCACTATCAAGCCAGGATGTTACTATTAATTTCTAGTCATAATTACAAGGAGAGAGCTTGTATTTATAGAGAGTAAAATCTAACCCCTAACAATAATAGGACGCGCGCGGCCCATATACTAAAAATGCTTGGTTATACAGTCTCCAACACCTTACATGTATGCTATCCAGATATATTTACTTCTTTTTTATTCATATGCTATGCCTTTATCTTGTTACTCGCATGTTTTTCCATTTGGAATTCATGAGTGGAGGTGGATTTGTAGATTCTCTTCATTATAGATTTTGGTAATGCTCATTACACCAATTTTATATATTCATAATGTGGGGAAAGATTGCAGTTAGGTAAAATTTCCTTCCATCGGAAATACTTTCTTGAGGATAGCGTTTTATATGTGACTTGATCTTGATTTATCTAACGTGGTTGTTTTGCAGGTTTCCGGAGACGAGTACTCAATAAAGGATTGCAATTACCTTTAAAGCTCGTTATTCTATTTATCAGCCTTATCATCTAACTTTTTCATCAAACACATAACTTTTGATTATGCGCGCTGAACTATTTAATAATCAAAATAAGGTTGAAGTTACTTTTTCTAGTTGAATTAGATGAAGTTACCATAGGGTACCATTTTAGCTATTTTCATATAACTTTTCTTTATTTTATTAACAAGATACTACTATATTAAATAATTTTTTCCCCATAAATCAACATAGTCACCTACTTCAGTTAAAACTTCATAAATTTCAGTAGAATTAGTGATTTTGAATCAATTTTAATGTTATTACTGACTACGGAGTATTATACAAAATTTACTGGATGGTGTGATTCTTCGAGTACTTTAAAAGCTAATAAAGGAGTGCTTTGCTTCTCCGTAGATTCTTCACAACAAAACAATGCATCCACAAAGTGACAACAGTTTTCTAATTGAAAGAAGAAAAAGGTATAAAGGGCGGTGGTCAGGTAGTCTTCTTCCCCCCTTTTCCGGAGTTATGTGGGATCATCAAATCGCCCAAAAATTATTAAAGATGACTCCAAAAAAAAAGATGTATTTTTAGGTTCAAATTAATTTAGATTGCCTTCTTTATCGTCATGTAAATATACGAAACTTTAAAGTGGCGTCTGAGTCTAGAGTCGTCTAGGTGATGCCATTTTTTTCCTTTTAAAATATTACTTTTATATCCAGTCAAAAAAATATTACTTTTATATTAAAATAGCAATGAGTAATTTAATAAACCAATTATCCGCGGTTTCCCGTGATTATACTCGTTACCCTTTGGCTGGGTTATGGTTTGGATAAAAATTACACGTTGGGGGAATGACACGGATACGGGACAGGGGAATTTCCAAACGGGGCAGGTTGCCATCCTTAGTCCCGCCCCGCCCGCTTTTGGATCCACCAACTAGAGTCCCCATTTATGATGTACACATTTCTTGCCATTTTATATGTGCTTTAATTAAAAAAATGATGTACATATTTATTTTCATTTTACATTTTCACTTGGATTAAAAATTTCTGGTCTAATCTGTTTAAATTTGATATGGTTGGTTAAGGTTTGTAATATGTGTTTAATTTGTGGTTCATGTTATTCATTACTCCTTTGCACAAACCTCAATCACGCACTTTTCACTTTATTATTCTCCCTACCGATCGAATTTGGCAAAGTTTTAAGGAACAAAAGAAGTATATACTTCAAAAAGAATTGGTTACTGACATTTTTACTTGGATAAAAAAAAAACTATGCTTTGATGTGTTTAAATTTGATCGGGTTGGTTAAGGTCTGAAGTATATATATTTTACTATTGTCTAAATGTTATATGATCGATATGGTCTAATCATGGCTGGGTCTGAAACCCCGAAAACCAAAAACTAAACAAAAATAAACTGAAACTCAACCAAACTAAACTGAATTGTAGTTGTTTGGTTAGGTTTTGATTTTGTCCCTTCAAAAATTTGAAACTTTATTTGTTAACCGATACAGATCAATCCTAATATCATTCATAAAATTTGGTTTTCTTATTAAATGTTAAGTCACATTACATTTGTGGTTTAGTTTAGTTTATAAAGGCATTTTCACTTTCATTACGTCCAATAATATAGCTATTTTGATCTATTTTGAGCCCGTCAGGAATTTGTTTTTCGACTTATCAGGCTTATGAGCCAACTTTTTCACCAAACAAGTAACTTTTGATTTCGCGCGCTGAATTTTTAAATAATAAGGAAAATAAGGTTGGGATTACTTTTCTAGTTGTATTGCTGAAGTTAATGTAGAAGACCATTTTAACCATTTTCATATAATTTTTTCTTTATTTTATTATTAAAAAATATTTTAAACAATTTTTTCTTTCAAAAATCAACAGAATCAGCTAATCCAGTCACTTAAGTAAGAACTTTATAAATTTTAGTAAAATCAGCTGATTCGACCAATTTCAATGTTATCAAACGAGCTCTTTGTCTTTTTTACGTATGTTTTTGCAGTTTTTTGGTGATATGTTTGATGGACAGTGTACCCGGGGGTAGCTTATCCGAGGGATTATTATGGGAATAACCTAGAGAGAAGTAAGAGCAAACAAGTGAGAGAGAGAGAGAGGCGATTATATTAATGAACTTGAGATGTTCTGGTCCTTTACAAGAGGAATATGGGCTGCTATTTATAGCAGCAATAAATGCGATGAGAGTACACGTGTCAATAATCTAACGGCCGAGGGGTCACCTCAATCGGGGTGGCACCGGCACTCGCATGTGCACCGCATTAAATGCGGTGGGTGGATGTGACGCCGCATTAGATACGGTGGTTGCTTGTCTCTAAAGAGAATCTTTGATGATTGAGCTGTTAGCCGAAGGCTCTCCCTGCGGTCGAGGGTGCTGTATAGCCGAAGGCTGCCCTGACGCCGAAGGCATGAAAGTGCCGAAGGCTCCTGATTCCTGCCATTTTCTCCCAGTAGCTTTGTATGCTCAAAACTGGCTTTCCTGTGAGTTTTGGAGCCTTCGGCCATGTTGACGAAGGCTACCCCAGGCTCCCCTTGGGCTCCTTTGAGCTTGGGCCGCTGTGCTTTGGGCCTCTTGTGCTTCTTGCGCCTGTGTTGGAGTAGTGGGAGTCTGTGGACCGGGGGTTCCTGGGCCATATACTCCATCAATATTTTTGCTACTTATGACTAGTAACTTTTATTTTTATGTAACTTAAAGTTTTTATATTGATAAAACAAATAGATATGCATCTCAATTATACCTCAAAGAACACTTTTTTTTAACTAGTCACACAAAATGTAAAATAAGAATATGTATACACTTTTGTTCAAAAAATGGAAAGTATGTTTTCTCTCACACATACTCATATTATTCAAGACATATTTATTCATTCTCTTTTTTATCATATATTTTTTTTTCTTACTATGCTTCATTCTTTATTTAATAGTAGTATGTTTTATCTCCCAACCAACTATTGGACGAGTATCATTTTAAATCAAATGGCATATTTCAATAAAATTAAAAAAAAAAAAAACTGAGTCAATTAAATTATGATTTCAAGTTTTGAAATGTAAAACAAACCGAGACTAAGCTGAACTTTTACTTCTAGACATTGGATTCTTTTGTATATGAATTAGGAAACATACATTTTAAAAACTAATGTTTATTTCAACCACAAAGGCAAACATTCAAAAGAAAAACAGAAAGGCAACATTATTGGTGACATCAATTCTTATTTTACCATTATTAAATGAGTTAGAAACTTTGAAGATATGATTGAGGCAACGGGCTTCAAGTGGAATGCTGTGGAAGTACTTGGCAATGAGTGAGCATTTGACAGTTGACAATTCTTCAGCCAAAGGACCCAACTGAATGAATCACACTGAAACCAATAAGGGTACAAAAAAGGGCGTGTGAAGTGTGAAGTCATCATTTAAAAAGAGTGAATTTGATGGTACTCCCTATGGATTGTACTCCACCCCTATCTACTAGTTTTCAGCTTTATTTCACTCAACTTTTACCCTTCAAGCATCTTTTGCACCTCCCAGGTTTGGGTTCACCCTTTATCCAGTCCAAACCCATTGCTTTACCCAAACCACATAAACTTAGGGATGGATATGGTCAAGTAGGTTTAGGACCACCCAATTAGTTACAGGACCCCCAACCTATGGTGGTTTTGGTCTAGACCGGTACCAGACATTGAACCAGGTCTTGAAGTAAACAACAGGGCGACTGCACCGGATTGAAATTGCCAGTTCCATGCAACTTTCGAGGAACCGGACAAGCATAAGGCAGAGCCGGCTTTCCGTCATTGTACAAGAACCGATTAATGGATTCGACATTTATGCAAATAACCGGTTGGTCTTGGTCTGGTGCGGAATTCGGGCCGTGTTCAACCTATCCTAAACTGATCAATTTGCATAACATAGCGGTTGAGATTTGAGAATTAAAGCAAACACCAAACTACCAACTTAACGGTCTCACGGGTGAGAATATAAAATTATATATACTCGGTAAAAGTTGCAGCCCCTGGCTACTACGAGTCACATGTTCAAGCTTTTACTCGACTAACGGACACATTTCAGAATAAAAAGGACAGATACAAGTAAACACTTTAATAATGTTTCTGACAAAGAAACCCTCCACCCCACCCCTACCCCCCACTCTATCAACTATCTCACCTCCACATTATTAAAACTAAAAAAGTACTGTACTTGAGTAGTAGGAAGTAGGAACTGGTAAAGTGAAAATGTGCAAATATTTATAACCCCGTACACAACTGCTAGTATTATTAAATGTAAAAATAAGTATTATTACCATTGCAGAATTATAAAGGAAATGTTAAATGCTGTTTACACACTAGCTGAAATACAGCGAAAAAGAAGGGTAAATCCTACTCAGTTTTTTAGTCACAAGGCTAGTGACTCTACTGTGGGCTTTCCACAAATGGTTAGAGTGTGTAATTTTATCAACCCTGTTACTTTACAGATGATTAAATTACACATTTCTACTCTCTCTCTCACTTTACACTAACTTTGGTTGTCACTCAAAGGAGCTTGAGTCACACCATCTTTGGCCGCACACCATCATGCCCTGCTTTGGTTATTGGCTCACTCTCACCCAGTCAAAACGTCCAGGCATTGGCGAATCATTCACAATGTCAAAGTTATATCTGTAGAATATGGTAAATGAAAACAATGTAAAACTTCCAAATACACGTTTCTTACTAATCCCAGGAATCATTAATTTAGTTCATCAAAGATAATAAAAATACACCCACAAAAAAAGGGAAATTGACATGAAAGCTTAAGGGTATGATTGAAATCCAGAAAGTAATAGGTAGGAAAATGTGAAAGAAATGGTTAAGAAAATTATTATTTTTTATTTGGTTTTACCACGGAAACTACAAATGAAAATGGAATGTGCTTGTTTTAATAAATGTTACCCTTCTTTAATTTTCTGTCTTTATAAAATAGAAAGTAGAAACATATACATAAAAATTACTTAAAGATACTATTTATAAAAAAAATTAAAAATTCAGTCTATTATTTTTATCCACCCACACATTTATTTCCTTTGAGATTTTGTTCTTGTTTGATTTATCTAGAATTTTCTGGGTTCCAAACAGACTCTTAGAAAGTGAAAGAAATTGTACTTGTCGGCAAAAAGGCGCTGCTGCTGCTGCTCTGCATAAGCGAAGAACTCATTGACCTCATCGGCTGAAGGCATATTCCTTAGAGAAGGACTTCTCACACTTCGAACATTTGTGTTTGGGTTAGTTACTCGTGTAGTTGAACTAGGAGTCTTGATGATGCCTTCCTCCCTGATTAAGCTACAAGGTGTACAAGGTGTGCTTTCTCTGGTGCTCCTTTGTTAAAGAAAAAAGATAGATTTAGTGAAGCATTACAACAATCCCATGTGAAACAAATGAAGTTGTAAAATGTGCATTCATAGTTTAATGGTCATGTGATCTAACAAAGCTTACTGTTGTCTCATTTGTTTTCTTTTTCAAGAATAAAAACAAAATACAGGAGAGTAGGAAAAGTAAAAAACTAGTGCGGAGGAAATAATTGCTTCATCTTGAAAAACAGGGTCCCATCTTCAATTCTGCTTTACACAGTTCACATGAATGGATAAAAAGAGTAGTAGGAACCATGTTTTTAGGAAAAATTCACAAAAATAATCCCACCTTTCGCTGGTCTTCTCATAATAATCCCACCTTTAGATAATCCCAGAATAATCCCACCTTTGCACCTCATTTTCTTTCATTGGACCCTGACCATGTTTTTTACTCTTTTTTGAAAATCATATAAATAATCTCACCTTTAACTTTTCTATTATATCTTTATAAATGTGAGATTGTTTATATAATATTTTCAAATAAAGGTAAAAAACTTGGTCAGGGTCCAATGAAAGAAGATGAGGTGTAAAGATGGGATTGTTTTGGTATTATGTAAAGGTAGGATTATTATGAGAAGACCAATGAAAGGTGGGATTATTCTTGTCAATTTTTCCATGTTTTTAAAGATTGTAGGAATATACGGAATAGGATAATCACACATTTTGGGTTCAATGGCCCAGAACACGTTACAGAAAACACAAGAGGCAAAAAAGTCAATGTTCACATTGAAAGGTTATTCATCCATCAACTCATAAAAGAACAACAATGGGTTAGAACTTTGAACTCCTTTAATCTCAGGAACATTTACAATTTTAATCCTTTCTCAAATGAAAATGAGACTTGTAACCACAACAAAAGGCACAAATAGGTGTGTGGACCTATACTATTTGCTATGAATACAACTACACAAGCTTGTTCATTTAATTATGACTTGTCTGATCAGTGACCACAAGTGTTGGATCTTTGTGTGATAAGCAGCACTACGTAATTGCTACGGAGTATCAAAGTAGTTGAAATCTTGAAGGGTCACAATTAAAGAATAAATGGTGTCTACTGAATAATTAACTGTAAAGAAAATAAAAACAATGTTTCTTTTTTATTCCGCCTAGGGTAGGGGACCAGGTGAAAAGATTGATTTTCTAAAAAAGAGGAAGTGAATAAAATAATACGGAGTAGATGAAAAAAAGGTGCAAGTATGGAAAGCATTAAAAGTGAAATCCTGAAAAATTCATCTGGGTATGAGTGAAAAAATGGAAGTAAATCTTTAATGCCATGCTTTATAGTAAAATAGGGGCGCCTGAATATGCAAGATGCTCAGTGTGGGACGTTTAAAAGTTCCTTCAAATGTATCTTTCAAGCAAAAGATACTTTAAGAGGAAACCAAAACCAAAACATTTTAATTTACTTTTAAGAAAAGCAGAGGAGTGTTAAAACTACACAAGAAACACCCCGCATTCAAAACCTTCCTATTTTCTTCCAAAATACACTCATACAAGTAGAGTCATGATTGATTATCACCATGTTACTTTTCCAAATTTCTCCTACAGATCTTGTAACAAAGGGCTTTCACAGTTAAGTTAGAAGCAGGCAACAGAAGTAGAAAACTAGAACTCAAATGAAGAACAAATGGCCATCAAGTGATACTTTTGGGGTAGTAAAAATACCTCTCTCTTGCATCTGACTCCAAATTGTTCTCCCCAAAGTGGTCATCAAAACCCAAATCACATCCCTCGGCAGACTCACACCCTTTGCTGAGAATCTGAAAACACCCTTCGCCAGCCCCGGAATTGCCAATCGAGGCAGAGGCCACAGAGCTCGAGTGCACAGAGCTCACCCTAAGCCTGGAGCTCGACTCGAGATCCAATTTCCGGCAAGTCAAGGAGTCCGAGTCCTTGGGACAGAGCTGCTTCTGGGCGAATCTCACGTTGCTATTGGACGACTTCTTCCGGTCTTCGTGTAACCCCGCCGGGTGCTTCTGCAGCCTGCGGGAGCGGAGCTGGAGATAACAGGACTCGGAGTCGGGCGAGGGAGGCAGGGATTGGAGGCGTTGGAGGGCTAGGGTTTTGGCCCGAGTGCGAACGCCGAGAGGGGACTGCGGGAGCTCCATGACGGCGACGTCGGCGGTGATTTTGCCCTTCTTCATGTACTTGCCCATGGTGGGAGGAAGAGGAGAGAATGAATTTGAAAAGGGCGGAGGCGGTGAAGCAAATTGGGGAAAGGGCAGAGCAGAGGGGTCAGCGGAGTATAAGGAGGGAAAAGGAGGCTGACTATAATTAGTAGACGCGAGGAAAGAAATACTCTGTAGCTAGCTAGGGTTGGCATCTATGGGACATTTATTGCTCATTACCAACCTTTACCCCTTTTTCCCTCCTCTTTTCGTTTTTTGTTACAGAGAAAATGCTTTTCCTAAACTATACCAAGCAATTTATTTATACCAAAATACTGCCAATGCATTAATATAGGGTATGATATACCCACAGTAAAAAAAATATACGGTATACTATTTGAGTCTTTGATATAATTATGGGAAAATTCCCGAAATGGGACTAAAAAAGTTCGAAAATTCCAAAATAGGACTGCCATGTTTTTATTCCCAAAATAGGACTAATTACTGCCAAATTTGGAAAATACTGTCATATTTGAAGTCTGGTACTGCCAAAACATGGCAGTAATTAGTCCTATTTTGGGAATAAAAACATGAAAGTCCTATTTTAGAATTTTCAAACTTTTTTAGTCCCATTTTGGGTAATATCTCTATATAATTATTTACCATTATTTAAAGCATGGAAAGCTTTTTTAATTTCTATTTTGGACTTATCATTCGTATATTGACCTATAAAGAACCCACACCTTAACAATCACATGAGCACCTTGAATCTGATAATCAATTTTAAGATTTGACATAAATTATTCACGTCTGAAATGACACAATAATTCGTTATCTACTAAACCGGCAATTTGAAATCTATAATGACCAAATAAATTTACTTGCCACTTAACCATCACATGTCTCTTAAGAACAATCAGAATATATAAAACTCACCATGATGTCAGGGTTAACAAAAACAAAAAATAATAAAAGTAAAAACCAATCAGAGACTCACAATGAAAACAAAAATGAAAATATGTCCTAGTTTTCAGTTTTTTCGGAGGGATTGTTGCCTAGAACTCGCTCCAATCCCATTTTTTCTGCCATCAAATTCCAGCTTCATCATCATGCTGAACAAGACAGCCGATCTCCTTATTTGCTGGATGAGAATAGCCACACTCGGTGCAATTGCCTCACCCTCCGGCAATGCAGCCGCCACATCTCGTAGCACAACCACCACAATTCACGCCGCAGCCGCCACAACCCACGACACATCCATCGCAATTGGTCCAAACACACAAGCCTTCAAATCCGTTGCCAACACAAAGCAAATCCAAAGCATTACATCTGATTGCATGCCATGTATTCTCCCACAAATAAACAAGAAACAAACACAAAGCCGCTCCAACTATCAGTTATGGCCAAAGGCAGTGGAAACCCCGAACCCTACTAAATGAAACTGTTGAGATTTATTCATTAACTCCAAAGGGTCTAACACTTTCCTTTAGATTTTAGTGGATTATGAGTGTTTAGATGATACATACAAGCATATAAAGGACAAATAAAAAGTCTAGTAAGTGAGCCGTATCTTATTGATTAGTAACAAGAGTCTGTTACAACATACTTCACTACAAGCCCATTAGGCTGATCGTCTATTTGAGCTAGGAAGAGGGGGAATAATTGCTATTGCTAGAGAATACAAATTGTCAACCCTTAATTATGAAATACTATGTAAATGCTATTATTTATACTACCAAGGGTAGGTGGTAGTGGCGATGTGGAGGTTCTTGAGTGGCTAGCTTCCCAACCACCAAATCTACTGCATTAAATGTGTTTCCCGTTAATATCCTACTTTCTCGCCAATAGTAGACTCTTGACGACTGTCCCCTTGACATTGAGTTCTGGACCCAAGTGAGTACAAGGACGGGGCTTCGCTCGGCCTAAGCCAGTTGTTCTCCCCGAGGCCCTTGGATCATTACCTGGCTCTAGTGGACCAAGGATACTGATGCCAAGTGTCTCCGTTATTAAGACGATTAGATGAGTTTCTGACGGGCTCTCTTGCCGGATTGTACCCAAATTGGGCCTTGATGGTTTTCTTGCTAAGGGGTAATAGGCCGCTCCTCTGTCGGGCCTATTACCCAACAGAAACCTAGCCAACTCAGCTCTTTACTTATCAGCCTTATTAACAATTCTTTTATTAAAAAGTTTTGATTTCCCATATGAAATGTGAAATAATTTTTACTTCTAAAATTAAAAGTTTATTTTCTCCCTTCCAGCTTCATGTTGTTAGGCATTTCTGTTCACCTTCTTTTAAACTACATAGAGAATGGTAGAGGCATAAAGATTGTTTTTGAGTCATCTTATTTCTACGTTCATTTAGAACGGAGTAGGAAGATTTTTTAGTATTCACCTATATTACAACAAGCAGCAACTCATCCTCCTACGGAATTGAACTACCTATGTGCCATGATGAGATTTGTGGAAAGGATTTATTTTAGTATTATTTCTTCTTAAGTAATGCTTATTTTTATTTTAGTTCAGGTAGGTATGATCGAGATATTTGGATATTTGGAGTACTTTTGATAGTTATTGCTCCAGTTCAAATCATTTTATGCTTAAAATTATCCGTTTTTTGTCTAGCGAATCAGATAACTTTGATTGAGGTGACTCACTATTTCTATTCCTAACGCTACGATAGGATATGTAATAACTATTTGGAGGTTTGACACGTTTTATAAATATTACTCCGTAATATGAATCATCAAACATATGGCTCTTAAAATTTTGAATGTACTACGTAATAAAAAGTGTTTCATCAAGCATATAGCGCAGTTATGATTTTGTAATGCCAACAAACCCCTGTCATTCTTTAAGATTTGAGATCAAATTCGCCTGAATAATTAGTGCTTGATGTTCATCAATAGGACTATCGTACAACTCGATTCGACCATCACATGTTAGGTTGCTATGTGTTGTTGTGTTAATCCGGCCGCTTCTAGTTGGAACAACATAGTAGGCCCCTCAATTGGATCATGCCTGATTATTGACCCAAATCCGATCATATATGGTTCTTTTTCTTTGAGGATCAAAAACTACTAAAACATTTGATGATAGCATATGAGGACACGACCCAAATATCAAACTTAATCAACCCGTGAAGCAATGATTAACAAGCTATAATTTTACTATAAAGATCACACATAATGCTCATCATCTCCCAATAAAGTTCTTACTTTAATTTAACAGGTATTTGTGTAAGAAAATTAATTAGACTGACTTTCGAATTAAGCCATTAATTAATACGAGTATATTAAAGGGACAAGAATAGCACCAAAGCCACTACTCTAGCAGCCCGAGATCGTATCCCCTGGCAGCAAAGCAAGGACACACTACACAACTATGTAGCACCGATATGAGTACGTGATCACGCAGAAATATGTACGAGGATACAATGGCGGAGCTAGAAAATTGACTCAGGGGATCGAAAATCAACTACATACAAAATGAAAATGGTAGATCATTTTTAGACAATATCCAAGTTGAATGTTTCATTTGTAATTTAGACAAATAGGCTCTCGTAAAAATAAGATATATTATCTTTCCTTTGTTTCTAAATCATGTCACGTAATAATGAGTTAATTGTACGTTATTTTTAAAATTTGGGAAAGTTATCAATATTACACCTCAAAATTTTGACCACTTCTAAATTTTTAACTGCACATTTAAAAGCGCAGTTATTTTCAAGAATTCATTTGAATGACTTCCCGATTGAATTGTTAGTTGAAATTTGGTATGCGTAAACTAGACTTAATGAATAAAATGCTCAAAAAATTTCATCAAAAAATTCCACCGGGAACCACCCCAAATGGCGACGACCGGACAGAGCCTCCTAAATAAGGCCTTATTTGACCTTTTTTGATTAATACGTGGCCTTATTTGCCCCTTTTCCCTAGAATTAAAATATGATCTCCTCCAACTTCTAAAAAATTAATTATGGAAGAATTTTGCAACCCACATAAGTGTTTCAACACTTTCAAACACTCCAATATATGGGGCGACGACCGGACAGAACCTCCTAAATAAGTCCTTATTTGACCTTTTCTGCTCGCTGAAGGGACATAAACAGTTTTAATAAGTAGATTCAAACACCCCTAACTAATTGATATATGGGGTGTTTGGATCTATGTATGAAAATTACGCCTCCTTTCTCAGGGAGTATAAACAAATGTTGAAGTATTTGGGTGAAAGTGCAGATATACTTTTGACCACTTCAAATATATTGCTCTTAAAAGTAGTTTTCTAGAAACTGAGAGAGACTAGTTTTCGGAAAATGATACTCCGTATTAATTTTTCTTGTTAAGAAAGTAGCAAAAACAAATTCAATTCCAAACACTCCCTAGACTCCGCTTGTGATAGACTAGAATTCAATTCTTGAAAACTACGCTACATTCAATGTTACACAGGTTTAAATCGTTTAATTAACTGTTTTGAGTGCCAACAATAAATCAAGCTCACTACAATATTTTGATTATATGGCAATTTAAATTTAAAATGTGTGGCGGTGTAGGTCTCATTTGGTTTTTGGCGGTTCAACCGCAATTCGATGCAAATCGCAGGGTTTCACATGCTCCTTCCATTCCAATTTGTTTTACAAAGTAAACATTTTTTGGTCAACCAATAATATAAGTCAATCCTTTCTTTGAATAATTAATTCAATTTTTAATAATTAAAATTAACATATTCATAAACTACATTAAAATATCTTCAAAGTTGTAAACTCCAAATTAGAATATAATTCAAAATTGACAGCCTAATTAAGTGAACAAAACGAAATTGTCTGACCAAGAAAAGTCAAATTTGTATATCAATTTCGGACATAGGTAGTATACATTAAGAATCTGTTAGATAATCCATCTTTGGAATATGTCAGTTTTATTAGTCAACATTTATATCAAAGAAAAGAAGTTCCATTCATTTTTTTTTGTTTTGTTTTAAATTTAGACTATCACGTTTCTTTCTGCTTAAAATAAATGTTGTCTTTACTGTCATAATGTGATATGAGTTGTTATTATTTTCATTGAATTGTGTAATTATCATTTCTGACTAAATTAACTAAACTTACTATATACGTAGTATTAACTAATTTTCATATTTTTCTTTATTTTATTAATAAAATACATTTAAGTATCATTTCTCCATGGTTCAGTGGAATCAGCTAATTTCAACTAATTCAACCAATTTCACTATTATTAAACAAGCTCTAATTAACTTGTTCAGACCCACTATAGCGGTAATTTTGTCTTTACATAGCTGTCCATGTCCAGCATGAGTCTTGCACGCGGAGATGGGAGCCAAATACCCAATTTTATTGGACACCACAATATTCTTAATCCTTCACAAACAAACAAAAACTAAGCTTTGATTCTTTGATGACATACCTGCTTGCAAGATAGACTGCAAGTAGCTAGTTAAGAGTGTCACGTATGCAATTCAAATTTTAATCTATAGTTTTATTTATTTAAAGGAATCTGTTAAGACCCGGGGTTCCATCCTAAAAGGTCAACCTGTTAGGAGGAGTAGCCTGAAGCTTAATCACTCCAGTGCTTCTCAATTTTTCGGTGTGGGACATTTAACACCTCCTCACGACCAGACACTTCATCTGGATCGTGTCGTCATTCATTTTTTCATCGGTTCGTCAATTTTTTTATCGTGTCGTCATTTTTCATAAGGGGCCCCACACCATGGATCGATTTGGCTCTGATACCATGTTAAGACCCGGGGTTCCATCCTAAAAGGTCAACTTGTTAGGAGGAGTAGCCCCGAAGCTTAATCAGTTAATCACTCTAGTGCTTCTCAATTTTCCGGTCACTACAAAAAAACATTGAAATAGACACAGACTTGGCACGGATTGATCAAGTTTGGCACGGATTGCAATTTATTTTTGGCATAGCGCCGTGCCAAATAGCTGGTGACTAAACGACATTGGCACATAATTTGGCACGGAATTAACGCATCCGTGCCAAATCCGTGTCAAATACCCTATGAATTTTGTCAAATCCGTGCCAAAAATCCATGCAAAATCCGTGCCAAAATCGTTGTTTTTTAGTAGTGGGTGTGGGACATTTAACAGAATCTCAATTTGGAATCTCAATTCAATGTAGTATTGTAGTTTATGGCTTATACTCACGTTTAATTTGATCAAACCAATCAAAGAGTCGGTGGCTACTTGAGTGGGAACTTCTTTTGTTTATTTTTATTTTTATATATATTATGTGTTTTTCGGTTGAATGTTTCACTATTGAAACATTGTTATATGAATTTCTTTTATATCTAATATTGTAAGAACTCAAATCGTTTTACAATATACTTTAATTAGTTGCATTTCAATATTTGCATTATGACGAAAAATATTGAAATTTTGATGTATTGCATTTATCACATCGATAAATATGATATTATTAATATTCATGTGGAATCTGCCAATCTGGAGTAGTAAATATGTAGAGAGAAGTTAA